TTTACTCTCGTTCAAATATATACACACACATGTGTATTAATTATTTTTCATTTTATTCATAAGCTTTGCGCCCAAGTATTGACTATATAGAAATTGAAGCTCAATGTTATGAATGAAGTTGCATATTGCTAAGCCACTCATATACCATACACATGGTATACATACATACATATATGTATGTATATAAACACCTCGCAAGTCGAAATTCTCTTAGAGTATCCACACTTCGTTTAGCCTATGCAACTCTGTCTCTCCGCCTCTCTCACCATCTCTCTCTATCCTCTTCTTTTCTCTTGCTGTTGCTGCAAATCTAACAGCTTTTTTATATATTTTTTGCCTTTGTTCTGCAGAAGCAGCCAAGGCGATCATTATTCCAGATAGAACTGTGCACTCACACTCACACACACATGATTATAAATATACATATGTTAGTATGCACATATACATCAATATCAGCTGTAAGCTGATCTTGAGCATTGCGTGCGCCCTGCCCCTGTAATCCCGCCCATATTTCAGCAAATTGTGAAATTCTGCACACGTTGCACACAATGAATGCATCGATTCATTCATTGCACGAGTCGCGACTGAGTCGACGGATGTGACTCATTCAGCTCAAATACAAATTACGTCTCAAAGACAAGCTCGCAAGACCCAAAGAGAGGCCCCCTCAAGTGCCCCGCCCTGTGCGCCCCCTCCAGTCAAAGAACATTTCTCATGTTTATTTACTTTATTTGGTTCTGTTGTGCTTCACGGCTGAGTAGGTCGCGCCGGGTCAAAGCATTCATTCGTATTCGTATGTATGTATGTATGTGTATTCCGGCAGATCATTCAGTTCGTTCGTTAAAGAAGCCAACATCTGAAGCGGTGAAATAACAAACTTAATTGCATTCAACAGAGTTGAGGATCAACTAATGAACACATTCATATTTGGCATTTGATTGCTTATAGAAGCTTTTAAGCATTGAATTAATTAACTTGACTACTATTTTGCTCATTATTACTTTTTGCATTATCATAAATAATTTGTTATCTAAATAAAAAGCCACATTATAAACGCAAGAATTATCTTATATCAGTTTAAACGCACTCACTCAACATGTTGTCAGTAGCATGTTGCCAAGCACGCACATTGCGAATCGGTTAAAGCAACATTGGCTGAGTGCTTAGCGGCAAAAACGAGAGAGAGAGAGAGAGAGAGTGTGAGAGCGGTCGCACGACTGCCCGATGCTGCACTCCTCAGCGTATGACCAACCCCCTTCGTTCAAAAACAACGACAAAGCACGAGAGCCAAGCAAGGCAAAGTCAAGCGTACACACGAAGCGGAGGGCCGAACACGACTGGCTCACAACGATGCCGAGGAAACGAGTGTTGTTTTTGTTACTTGTGTTCTTTGTGTCGCTCGATGGCTTTGGCTTTGGGCTTTCGCTTTTGCCAGTGCAGTGCATCAGTTCGGCGCTCAGTTCAAGTCGATGATTGCTGCCGAACGGTTGGGTTTTCAGTCCGTCATATGTAGCGCGCGTTGCCGTCGCTTAGAGCCGTTAGAGCAACTTCGTTCGCTTCGAAATCGTTACAAGTGTGAACCCAAATGAAATTTGAATTGAATGCTATAATGAAGTTGGCAATGATCATTAGCAAGTGCAATGTAAGTGAGCAGCAAAGTGTAACAGTTGCGTATGAAAATCAATGAGCAGCTGAATAAAACTCATCACGCGCACCTCGCACACGCACACACACACACACTCACCCACACACACGCAATCTTCAATCAGCTTCGTGTACTACTCGTGACTCGTGCCGCGACCGTGTGCGTGTGTGTGTGGTCCTCTTGCTGTGCGGCTATGTGTTGTTGTGTGTGTTTGTGTTGAACGCAGAGCTCGAGTCCAGCTCGTTCCACAATTCCTGTCGTTCTTCTATCGCTGCTCTGATTGCAGGCCACGAGGCCGAAACGTAACGAAAACGAAAACGAAAACGCGATGAAAATTAAAGCTTTGCGTGGCTAAAATCGCTAACCAAAAAAGCAACAAAGCAAAAAAAAAAAACATAACGGTAAAAAAGAGGAAATTCATACACACATATAACAACCCCAACAAGTGAACACAAAGGAAATTGTGGCTGGACAGTGTTGCGTAAAAGTAAAAATTTCGCTTTTATTTTTTTGGTCGCAAGCTCTCGCAAAATAACAAAAAAAAAAAGTAGAAACAACAACAAAAGAAAATACAAAAAATATATAAAAAACGATTATCATCTGGTCCTAGCGAGCGGCGTCGCTTCTATAAATAACGTTGCGCCAGGCGCCGCTAATTACGCCAAAACATGAAAATATTTACAACAAAAGCAAAAGCAAAAGGAACAACAGCAGCAACAACAACGAGGAAAACTCGGCAATTAATCAATTTTCCGCTTGACCAATATATAATAAATTCATTCGAGCTGAATCCGCACGGAAGTTTGCACTATTATCATAATTAAAAAACAAAAAAAGAAAGAGCAACATAAGGAGCACGAGAAACTGAAGGAGGACGAGGGAGAGGAGGATCAGGAGGCTCGCATATCAAAGGAAAGCCAGCGTGGCATGGCCTAAAGGATAGCATCATATCACCTACACCTACACTCACACCCACACACACACTCATTCAGCATTTCTTAGAGAACTATGGAGCTTCACTGGAGTCAGCTGTTGCTGCTGCAGCTCTTGCTGTTCCAACTGCCCCGATTTTTGCTGGCGAATCGCTATAGTTCCGGCAAGCTGTATGCAAATGGAGGCAGCTCCAGTTCCAGTTCCGGCTCCAGCTCCGGTTCCAGTTCCAGCTACAAATCGTCACAGCAACAGAACGAAGTATACTCCATAGCGGACAGCCAGCCCATGACAGACGATGGCTATGTGCCGCCCTCGTTGGCCCCATATCCATATCCGGCCAGCGATCTGGACAATCCGGTGCAGCACCTGAGCAGCTGTCAGACGGTGTGCGCCTGCAAGTGGAAGGGCGGCAAGCAGACGGTGGAGTGCATCGACAGGCAGCTCATCCAAATACCCGATCACATTGATCCCAGCACCCAGGTGCTGGACATGTCCGGCAACAAGCTGCAGACGCTATCCAACGAGCAGTTCGTGCGCTCCAATCTGCTCAATCTGCAGAAGCTATATCTGCGCCACTGTAAGATCGGCGAGATCGAGCGCGAGACCTTCAAGGGACTGACCAATCTGGTGGAGCTCGACTTGTCGCACAACCTCCTGGTGACGGTGCCCAGCCTGGCCCTGAGCCACATCTCCTCGCTGCGCGACCTGACGCTCGCCTCCAATCACATACACAAGATCGAGGCGCAGGCTTTCAGCAGCACGCCCTCGCTCCACAAGCTGGATCTCTCGCACTGCGACATCCAGACGATATCGGCGCAGGCCTTCAGTGGGCTGCAGGGGCTCACGCTGCTGCGCCTGAACGGGAACAAGCTGAGCGAGCTGCTGCCCAAGACCATCGAGACTCTGAGCCGGCTGCACGGCATCGAGTTGCACGACAATCCCTGGCTGTGCGACTGCCGGCTGCGGGACGCCAAGCTGTGGCTGATGCAGCGCAATATTCCGTATCCGGTGGCGCCGGTATGCGCGGGCGGACCCGAGCGGATCATCGACCGCAGCTTTGCGGAGCTGCATGTGGACGACTTTGCCTGCCGCCCCGAAATGCTGCCCATCTCCCACTACGTGGAGACGGCCATGGGCGAGAATGCCTCCATCACGTGCCGCGCACGCGCCGTGCCCGCGGCCAGCATCCACTGGTATTGGAATGGCCGGCAGCTGGCTAACAATAGCGCCTTCAGCGCCTATCAGCGTGTCCACATGTTCGAGCAGCTGGAGGGCGGCTTCGAGAAGCGCTCGCGCCTGGTGCTCACCAATGCCCAGGAAACCGATTCCAGCGAGTTCTACTGCGTGGCCGAGAATCGCGCCGGGAGCGCCGAGGCCAACTTTACGCTTCATGTCAGCATGCGAGCCGCGGGCATGGCCTCCCTGGGCAGTGGGCAAATTGTGGGCCTGAGTGCTGCCCTCGTGGCTCTGATTGTGTTCGCGCTGGCGGCCATTATGTGCCTGCTGCTGCGGGTGAAGCGGCAGCCGTACGTGGACAGCAAGACGCCCAACCACATGGAGGTCATCACATCGGTGAACCACCAGAATTCCATCACCAACAAAACGCAGCCGGCAACGGGCAATGGCAGCATCGGCGGCGTTGTCATCGCTAATGGAGCTGTGGCTAATTGCATCGATGGAGGATTAGCGGGCGTGGCCTCGGGTACGCTGGAGCGCAAGGGTAATAGCAGCAGCGTGGTGTCAACTGGCGGCGTAGGGGGCGGAGCTAGTTGTAGGCGTGCCAGTGGATCGCCGCACGAGCAACGCAATGCGAATCCTGTGCAGAAGCCGCCGCGACTCACCGACCTGCCCTACTCGACGCAGGGCTACGACAATGCGGGCAGCGTGCTGTCCACCGCCTCCTGCTTCATCTCGCCCAGCGGCTCCACTGGGCATGGCAACAATCCGGATCTAATCAATGATACGAAACGCTTTGGCAGCGACGAGTTCTGTGACCTCAAGCTGCCCGCCATGGAGCTGACGAGCGGAGGCGGCGGCGGCAGTGGGGAATACAGTCGGGCCAATGGCTGTGACTCGCTGTATCCGTCCGGGCTGTGGGAGCATACAGCAGCAGCAGCTGGGGCCAGCTCGGCAGATGATCTGTTCATGAAACGCTACACGGACAAGACGCCCATCATCGACTCCAGCCAGCTGTACGATCTGCACGAGCGGAGCGCGGCCAGCGACTACTTCAGCAAGACGTTTCCGCGCGCCCACTGCAATGCGACGCTGCAGCAGAGTGGCGGATGCAGTGCAGCGGCAGGAACCGGCGCCTCGACCACCTCGACGGCCACAACGAACCTGTCGAGCGGCTCCTCCGGCTATCCCAATGACTACGGGCTGCCTCTGGTGCCGGGCGCCGAGCATCAGCACAATCATCAGCTGCAGATGCATCCACTGCAGCAGCTGCAGCTGCAGCAGCAACTCCAGCACAGCAGCGGCAGTCCACACTTCAGTAGTCGCACCCTGCCACGCCTACACGATGGAGGCGGCAGCAGCAATGGCTCGGCCAGGTCATCGCCCACACCCGCCCAGGCCATGGCTGCCCCGGCTCCAGCTAGCTCCAGTTCCTGCTCAATACTGCCCAATGGACAGCCCGTGAATGCCAAGACGATACGGGTCTGGCAGAAGGGAGGCGTGCCCGTGCTGCCGCCCGTCACAGCGCTGAAGCGAGCGCTGATCAGCAGCAGCCGCAACTCCCCGGACGAGGGCTACCAAGAGGGTTGCGGCACCGATGTCTAAGCGCCTCGCCTCCACAGTCACAAAGACACAGGAAACCCCGCAGAACTGACTAAACTTAAACTGAGTGCATACACTAAACACTAACTATAGCACACCCTCTCTCACACACACACACACACACTCATACATATTTTATATACATTCATGTGGCTCATCGACTAGCGAGAGAATCGGGCGAATTTTCGTGGCGTGAACTTGTGCAAGCGAACTGTTTGTGATAGTGTCTAATTAAAAGATATGGCTAATGGAGATAATAAACAAAGAAAATTGCAAGAGCGAAAAAAAAAAACCGAAACAAAATAAGAAACAGCAAAAAAATTCAATGAAAAATAATGCAGTATACTTCTAGTTATAAAGCGCAAAGCAAATGGACAACAAGAAAAGAAAAACTGAAAACTAAACTAATTAATATATCATATATACCTATAGAACTAAATATAGATATAGATATGTATGAACACCTACGACTAATTAGCGAACCCTAAGAAACTGTAAATACCAACATCTCAACTCTCGCAAGTCCCCGCATTATGAAAATAAGATACTAAAACTAAAACTAACTGCAATAAAAGTAAAGTAAAATGTCAATGTCAAAGTAAAAGTAAAAGTCAAAGTAAAGGTAAAAGTCAATGTCGATCTAAATGTCAAAGTAAATGAATGAATTTCCACACACACACACACACACACGCGGACAGAGTACTTAGGAATCGTCTATGCCCTTGTAAATGTAATTAAAATTTATAACTGTAAAACTAACTGTAACTGTAATTCTAACTGTAACTGTAACTCTCTCTCCCCCTCTCTCTATCTCTATCTCTCTGAGTTAGTATATGCGTGTGTGAGAGTTTCAAATGTTTCCAAAAAGCCAACCAAAAATGAAGATAGCTTCACGACCCTCACCCACATTCTTGAAAAGAATCGTAAGTTGTAGGCAGTTACGTAATGAACATATATCAAACTCTTATTCGGCTGAAAAGAAATCCTTAACTGTCAGTTAAAGTTGACAAAGAGAAAGAGAACGAACAGCAGCAGCAAGACCCACTTTATAAAAGTAAAAAAGAACAGAAAAAGAAATAAAATGAAGAAACCAAATAGCAAAATTTAAAATGAAATTTATTCTTAATATCTGTGTGACTTCTGTATATATAGGAAAAATATTAAAAATATTGTAAACATTCGCATTATTTGTGGGCGTGGCCAGAGCGTTAGACACATAAACAACGGGCAACAATAAAAAAAAGAGAGTAAATTCAAATATAATGATGATCAGCACGCATAGACTTTGTAGGTAATACGACAAAAGAATTACATACTAAGATGGCGTTAACTCAATTCTCAAGCTAACAATCACATTCAACAGTTAAATTTCACAGAGCAACACTTTATTTGGCAGTTATAATGTCAGTTCTTGACAGTTTATTTGACAGCTGGATTTAACACCTTTCAAAATGGATAAGACAGTTCACATAATTCGAGATCTAGACCTAAAACTAACATATAACATCACATTTAATAGCTAGATGTTACACAAAAAATTGACAGGTGAATTTAATACATTTTATATTATATCAGATTTGCCGGTTGAATTTTATAAAATATTTAGCCACATCCTAAATTAAACAGCAGGAATGCTAGACTTGAAAGCCAGACTTAACATGTATATTTGGGAAGAATTACATGATACGAAAAGTAAATTTAAAATATTCTTAACAAATTTAAGAATTACATGATACGAAAAGTAAATTTAAAATATTCTAAACAAATTTAACATATACATTTAATTTATTTCTGCGTCAATATTATATCCGTACAAATATTTAGTTTCTACAGTTGAATTACTTCGTTAAATGTGATTCAATTATCAATTATATTTACATCTTCCTGCTAACTGAACTTTTACTATTATGATTTCTTATGTAATATATGTAACGTTAATTTTTAAAACCATTTCCTTCACACCTGTTACGTACCCTGAAGCCAGCAAGCATATCCAATAGAGGATATATATATATTGTACTTTGATTTTCGGTAAGCGTATCCACATTGAGACTTGACGGATTGTAAATTTAACATACACACTTGACAGCTAGCTATTATCAGGCGTATCTCAACATTTAATTTGATGATGGTGAACACCAGATTTATTTCTCGCGTGATACTCAAATGAAACTATATTCGCATTTAATTCAAGCCCAATGTCATCCGCACCGGCTGAGATACTCAGTTGAAATTTTAACTTTTAATTGGCATTTGGACAGTAATCGAATTTGAGCAAGGCTGAACCGAGATTTGTGCCAGAATGTTGACCCACTTTTTACTTTTTGCATATTAATAGAAATAGTGTGAATGTGAGCTGAGTTGAGTTAACGCTACCTGCACATTATGTATATCTCCCACTCCTGAAACCCCATGAAAAAAAAGGTAAAAAAGAGAAAGATTAACTGTGAATCCGACTGCGCTTTGGCATTAAACTTAGGTAAAATTCGTATTTGCAAAGTTAGTTAAAATATGTAAAAAGTTAAGGAATATCAAATGAAACTCAACATATTCATCAATTCATACGTAAATAATACATATGTAAATGCCCACACACACAGACAGACACAAAGTGCTCCAAGTACACACACACACACACACACCTACACACTCAAAAATATATCTTCAGATATTATTTGCCTGTAGGTCGTAAGCCCTAAAAGCATTCAAGCAGCAAAATAAAAACAACAAAAAACAAAATAGAGAAAAACAGAAAAATAATAAAAATGAAACATTCAACTGAAAAGTAAAAAATAAATAGCAGAAGAAGAAGCAGACGAAAAACAAAAATAATATCTTTAAGGTAAACCAAAGACTTTTTCTTTGCATCTAGTAAGCGAGGGGCATAAACTAAACGTTGAACTTGAATGAGCGAAACGACGAACATGCAGAATAACCTTAAGTAATACCTATGTATTGTATAATATAATATATACATATACCTATATATATAACTACATATACATATATCTATAAATAT